AGTGCCCCATAGAAGTGGCAAGCTCTGCTGCATGCCAAAATCAGCTGGAAAGGTCTTCCTGACAAAATCAACAATAGTGGATTTTTCTTTCTGTATTGATTTGCTCAGATGTTAAGGTTTGATGCAGGTTGTTTGGTTAGGAGTTATAAAAAGAAAGATATTGCTCTTGTTATTCAAAACAGGAACAAGGTATGAAGGAAACCAAATGTATGCTATGCCACAAGTTTTGCTCTGCTGCATATGGAACAGTTGTAAAAACTATGTAAATCAGAACTGAAAACCAGAGCTTCTATATTTATAATTATACTGTGTGATCTCATGATCATTTTGTCTACTGTAAAGGCTAGGAAAAAAAGTAATGCTCTCAAAACCCCTCCAGTTACATCTCATGAGCATTTAATTCAGCCCAGTAATCAATACCCAACATGATAGAGTATAGATGTGTCAAATGCTCTCAGTGCTTGCATGGAGTGCATAATCAGAGCGATCAATGTGGTTCTTCTGTTTGCATCATGTCTGGCTTGTGTACATAGAGGAGACAGAGCAAATCTGGAAACAGCAACAGAGCAACAGCTCAGGCTTAACACTGTGCTGCTTCACAGAAACGGCCATCCTTCAGTGCTCTGTATGCTGATTGTAGAGATGCAGAGGAATATGAAATCTTTTCCCTTTCCTCACATTTACAGAAACCCTATGCCTGTCAGATTCCTGGCTGCTCCAAACGCTACACCGACCCTAGCTCTCTGCGCAAACATGTGAAAGCTCATTCAGCCAAAGAACAACAGGTGCATAAGAAGGTAAGACCCAAAAGTGACACATCTCCAGATCTCCTTGATATAGTTATTTTTAGTTTACCTTTAGTTTATACAATTTCAAATCAGAGTTCTTCTGCAATATTGCTAGAAGAAAACTTAAGTTGAGATCATTTACTTGTTGGTTTTTAACCATTATTGTTAACCAGTCCACTTCATAGTTTTGCACTTTCAAGGCTACCACCCTGTAATTTCAGTTTGCCCCATGCTTTCTCTCCAAGCATTTCTTTCCTGTTCATCTTTCATACACAAGTCCAAATTCTGCTGTCATTCACATAAAATGTCCATGCGTTGAGTCTCTGCAATCAGCTCGTAAATATATGTTGGCATATCATCTAGAACACAAATGAAACTAAGCCAGGATACTACAGAAATGTCAGGAAGGGAGCACTTGTAATAGATGAGAATGAAACCCCTCCACTTTTCCTACCACATCTGTACTTTAAATGCATTTATAAATCTTTCCAAACCCAGACTGCTAGTTATGTTTTCACGCTATTAGATTCAAGTAAGTATTTTGATTTCTGTGGACTAAATCCTGAACTCATTATTAAATGGGGATGCTTACGGGCACCAGCCCAGGATCAGAGACTTGTTTATTACACATTTGTACACACAGTTTGTAAAAAGATGATTGGGACCCCACAGAGCTGGTCTGTGACAGAACAGACCATAAGCATACTTCAGGCCCAGGAGTGGAAGGGAATGCAAGCCTTAGCAAGCAATTACAATTAGTTCAATAAGCAGCAATGACGTCTTCCCCCAGCTGCCTCGCCACTTCCAAGAACATCACGGATGAGACAGCAAGGCATGTTTAAAGGATGGAGGACAGAGCAGAAATGACAGCCTGGCAAGATAGAGCTAGGGAGCAGCTAGTTTGGAAAAATGTCAAAGGTAAGAACTAGAAGTACTGGAGAGCAAAGAGAGGAACATGTGGAGAGAAGAAACAATAGCAGAACCCAGGTGATCTTAATTGCAGAATTTGGGATGAGCCATGGAGGAGTGAGATGGATGTCAAAAAGGCCTAATTTTCCTGCTTGAATACAACTGTGATGAGTTCATAATTTGTCCCCTGTCTTCCACCCCTTCCCTCCTGCTACTTCTCAGCATGAATTACATCCCCTACAGTTTTCACTTGGCAAGATTCACCAATCTGAACTTTTGGTCCCCTTTCCTAGGACAGTTGTCTGTCCCCCAGTTCTTCCTGTAACCCCTCTCTGTGTCAGGTGCATGCCATCTGAGTAACAGTTTCTAGAACATCAGTGTCCGGAGTTGTGCACACTATTTCAAATAGCCAGTCACGAAACACTCATTACATGTGGAGCTTTGTGCCTGGGAGTAACACTATTCATACCTAGCACTCATCCAGATATCCACAGAATCAAGTTGTTGTCTCTGCAAATATCAGGTCCAGTCAGAAGTCTTATTCAGCCTGGCAGGACTGGAAAGGACCACCTAGTTTTCAAGCCCAATTTTGTATTATCAGGCCATGTGGTTTCACTACAGCTCTCTAGAAGGTTCCACAGGGAGTGCTGTACACGTCTCCCATACCATGGGCTGCAAAATTCCCAATGCTTCCCTGCAGCAACCTTTAGGTCTTAATGAGAGTAAGTCGGAAAGCCATTGCAGTAATTGGCCTCAGAAGGAGGTTGGCTGTGACACCAAAGTCTTTTGCAATAGTAAGATCTTTGTGACAGGAAGATTTTCTTATATGAAATTTGCAGCTGATTGTGGAAAGCAACCATACTCCCTATTCCAAAAGAGAGACCTCCCCCATCTTTCCTTCCTGTGGTCGCTGACATACTTCTTAGGGGAAGGAAGGAGGGAATTATTTCCTAATACCAAACATGGGTATCATTTGTTCAGCTCTGTGTACAGGGCTGAATGCATTAACATGTTAACATCCTTTACATCTGGACAAAGGAACAGTCCTCACTGTTATACCCTGTCACCTGCTGAGGCCTATTTCCAGTTCTACAGAGGAAGGTGGGGAAAAAACCTAAATCCAAAGTTTGCATTAAGGGCACAAAGTACTTCCTGCATCAGCAGTGGGAGGCCTTAAGCACAGTCAATATAGGACAAATGCAGTACACACAAACTGCAAACTCAAGTTGCTTGGATGTACCAAGACATCAACCATCCAGGGTTTCATATCTCTTAATCTCCTAGCTTGAGGAATTTTCCTGCATGCAAATACATACCCTCCCATAGACTTAACAAGTCTATTTTAAAATAATGTTAGTTCCTTGCCTCCCACACCTTATTTGGTAGACCAGTGTAAATCTGCACTCCTCCAGTGGTTTGAAGTAATTTTCAGATTTCCTGTCTTATTTATCCATGATAACTTTATGAATACTTGATCTTTTTTCCTTCAAATTAAAAGGCATCTGAAAAAGCAGCAGATTTAAAGTGCATTTTGATCAGACTCTCTTAAAAGGGACCAAAGCAAATCTGACTCCTAAAGAAATAATAACACACCCCCCCAAATACTTCACTTAAACATATTATAGGAAAAAAACCCTTTCGCAACTAAGTAAATCTCAGTGTTATTGAAACGGTGACAATCTACTTTGGAAAAAAGGGGGAAAGACTGTTTATACTCACTTGCTCATTTTTGGTTATAACTCAGCAAAGGCAGTTGTCTCTTGGTATCAGCTTCCCAGGAGTTCTGAGTGGAAATGAGTTAGCCAAGAAAGAAAAATTTAACAGGCTGCTCTGCCCACATGTCTTAGTTGAGATATGCTACCAAAATGTGCCATCTCTGATATAAAATAAAATGCCTGAGCTTAGACTTACATCAAAGGAATCCTGAATATTTAGTTCATAGCCTAGGAGATGACTGCAGTGGTAATATTTGGTTGTTCTGGAAGGCTTTACAAGAACAAAATAAGAGAAAGTTAGCTGTTAATTTAGTAGTAGTTTAAGTTAATTGGCTGCAGATGCACTTTGTTATCCGAATGTTAGATGTTTATCTTGAACCAACAAATGGCTGTATAGCAGAAGTCTAAATAGGTTCTAAATAGCCTGGACCTTTTATTTAGGATAACCAAACCCCGGGGAGATTGGTATGCAAAACTGTAAACGTAAAGACAATAACTATTTATTAATGGCTATAGAATATGATGGCTGTTTGCGTAATGTGAGCACTATATTATGACAAAAGCTTGGCAACATCAGCATGTTTGAAAGAGAATTAGAAATGCTTTTCTTTCTTAATTCTCCTCTCCTGCTGTTTTTAATATGATCGACATTGTGGTTTTCAAGAGTTTGCTTCAGACACTTTTGCCAGAGCTTTAATTTACATGGAGAAAAACTGACGTATCGGTGATACCTCTTACATATTACTGACAGCGTATTATTCCACCAGTTCTAATCTGATAAGTGCAAACACTTT